TATAATCCGGCAGTAGTGACTCTTTTCACCTCGGGTAAAATAAAGTAAATTTAATTGTAAAATTTGTTTAGGTTCAGACTTTTTTTGCTTTTATAAAGAATGTAAAGACCGTCTTTTTTGTCGTAACCAAACACATTGATCTCTAAGTTGTTTTGCGATTCGATACGCAGGATCTGAGATATGGGTGTCGGAAAGCTTATGTTTGTAAAATTTAGACCGCCTGCTTCTGTGTAAGTCGATGTTCGCTCGTCATGTATTTTGTAATTTGAATTTGTTTCTAACTGACTTTTAACTTTGCCAGAATATAACTTTAAAGCCGCTCTCAGTGCCCATCGGAAACACTGTTGATCTTTGTTTTGGACGTTTATGATTGCTTTTTTGTCCCTCAAATACTTTGGTAGTAGAATATACGTGGCGCCCACCGGGTTGTATTTAACCACGTTGATGTAAAAAGCTTTTACTTTATCAAAGATCTAACCAGAACCTTTTTGTGTATGAGCTTCCACGTCCTCTATCTGTTTTTCCCTCTGTTCAGCGAGTGCCTCTTTCACGTCAGCTTTGGTTGCGACTAATTTATTTTCGCTCGGAAAGATAAATACGCCAAATGAAGTTTTTTCAGGTTTTTCCAATCTAAACTGCACTTTTAGAGCCGTTTGCAATTTGTACAAACCCACTTCCTTTAACTCCTCCAACGCTTTCTTCTCGATGAAAGTTTTGTAAAAATCAAAAAAGTGCACGAGGTCGTATTCAAAGAAACGGGGTATCAATTCCCAATTGCGGTAGTTACCTTTAAAACGCCTCACGTTTCTAATGTCGGCTTCCGCAATTTCCTTGGGCTGAGTGTAAGCTTTAATCGCTTCAATAAAGTCCTGTTTAACATATCTGTCTTTGTGTGCAAAAGGAATATTATATTTTTGAACTGTTTGCAACAGCTGACGATATGACTGGCGCGGGAGGTACCTAAATTGTTTTTGGTCTGCCCGTATGACTTCAATGAGCTCGGGTTTGGTGTGAAATTTACGCTTGGGTGCCGGTAATGGGACGTTATACCGCTTGACAAAATCTTCTAAAAACGCCTTCTTAAATCGATCAAAGGTTGATAGTAGAGGCCGGTGTTGTGGGTTGCTCATGTCTCTATTTATATATAGGTTTTGAAAATTTTTCTCACTTTTTCTATCGACTTGACTTGACATGTTTTTTTATATATAGGCCATTTATTTAAGGCGGTTGTAAACATAACGTATTTTGCTTTGAAAAGAGCCACGCTTTAAGTAGAGGTCACGAGTTCAGGTCGGGCAAGTCTCGACTTGTAGCGACGGGAAGTCCCTTTTTTGTTTGAGAGTGATTGTTTGTGTGATCGGCGCATGTCACGAGTTGTTTACAGGAAAAAGTGCGCCGGGGTCAAAAGGTCAAGGTGAGTGAAGTGAGAATCCCCGGCGCGAGTGGGTGAAAGAGGGTGAAAGGGGAGGTGGTGAAAGGAAGTTAATCGTGCCTTTTTCAACCCCTTTTGTGACCTCTTTTTTCGTGTTGATAAAATAGTTGATGAGGTACCCAGGTAAAATTACAAAAACCTGAAAACGCGTTTTGGGGGGTTTTTTGAGCGGAAAAAGGGTCGAGTAGGCATAGGGGTGAAAGAGGGAGAAACGGGTTGAAAGGGGAGGTGGACCAGAACTGTGACAGTCCTATCCCTACTACTGTTCTGAGTGAGCACAATCACACGTTTCAATACTGCCACTCTTCACCATAATGGAGGGGATTTTCGATTGAACTATCATTACGTAAATTTTTAATTTTTAACTCTAAGATGAGGATTTCGAGGACAGGAAAGGGGGCCCCACTTTACACCGACGATACAAACCCGGCACACTGCTGAATATACTCACGAGGGTACCGGTGGGACGGCCCTGAAGGACCAGCAACGGGGCCGACTGATCCACCACGTGCAACACTGCCTGGAATATCTGGAGATCAAACCAACCGAAATATGCCGATAGTGAACAACGCAAACTGCCTGTGTGTTCTGGGATCCCATCTCGAGTAGGGATGCTACATATATTGTCCCCTGTACTTTTTCCTTTGTATTTACACTTTTAATAATCTATTTTATTCAAGGTGTTTGTGGGGATGGAGTGGGATGGTGTTCATTTCCCCTCGTATATATTTTAAATGGTCTTAACAATTCTTTCATGTTTGTATAGATTTTTGATGCTGCATTTTTCGAACAACACACCAATGTTGATTCCACTCCATAAAACCACAAAATAAACAAGTATTTTGCTCAAATTCAACTGAATTTTTTTTATTTTGAAAGAATAAAAGTGGGTAGTATAGCTTCACTAATATTCACAAAATCAGAGACGTGATATACACACACTTAATTGAGGATGCAAAACCATACGGCAAATTTGAGTCCTATTTGACAGTTTTACCAAATTGGAAATAAATTACAATTAGGGAAGTAGATAATGAACTTCACTTAGTTACAGTGGCGTAACTAGGGTGCCACAGCTGAGGGGGCACCTGGGGGTGCACAATTTTTTTCAGGGGGCACTGAAAATAATTGAACTAGGTATATATATTTTTTGTCCATTTCCAAACTTCAAAGGGGGGTTGCACCCGGGAGCACGGGCCTCCGTTGGGGGGGGGGCACGTGCACCCCTGTGCCCCCCTGTAGTTACGCCACTGTTTAGACATGTAGAACTGACAAAAGACTCCGAACACTTTTACTACTATAGTAATACCAGTTTAAGAAAACAAAGTGTGTTATCTTTGTAAGATGTATATAAATTGGTGAACTATTAAAAATTTTGTCACAGAAACACTGTGTTTCTGTAGCACATCCGTAATGAATCAAGAAACACGAGAACATAATAATAATAACCAGTTTTATTTAGCACCTTTAACTACCAAAAACTGACAAAAAAAGAACGTGGCTATACAAAATTGAAGCACAATACACAAACAACACACCTGAATTATCTTAATTGATACTAGTACAAACAAGTTATATAACCAATCTGAGGTAGTGCAGATGACAATCACTGTCACACATAATGCATAATATTGAGCATTTTCACAGACTGTCCTGATTTACCTTTTATCCTTCTCTGTTTTTTACTGAGGCTTATCCTACGGGATTTTTTTTACTGAAGTGTTTGTCACAATATGTTGGTTGCTGATTAATTTTTCTCGAATAGTTTGTTAAGTTTAGTAAGTTCTATTCCATGCTTGCTCGTTGACAAGGATATGGTACTTTATATTGCCTGGCCCTTAGTGTGGGTGGTTCATCATGGATAGTGGCGGGACGACTGGGGAACCATTTGTTTCTTCACTCTTAAAGCAAAACCATATTTGTATGACTTATTAGCAAATACATGTAGATGAATGCACGTTTCTTTCAATATCCTGTACAGTCAACAGCACTTTAAGACATATTTTCTCTACATTAATCTCATAATACTTTTTATGTTCCTTTTTAGTTTTCCTCTATTTCTTAGGTTGTTCATTGGAATCAGTACTTTCTGTTAAAAGAAATCCCAAAACACAATATAAATATCAACAAAATAGTCAATATTTAGGAGTCATGACAAAAATCAACAACAAATTGCATTCTGAGTTTTTAAATGTATTAAAAATGCATTCGCAGATTACTTCTGTGTATACAGTCCAAGCAGATTTCATTAACTAATATAAAGATAACAGAAAACATATCCAAATAGTTAAATGAAATCAAACACTAAAGTCAACTTGTTATTAAATTGCTCTCCTGGTTGTGAAAACTGGGTTTCCACAGAAAACTACATTTCATGACTTTTCCAGGATTTTTTAGGAATAAGAAGCTTAGAAAATGCATGGCCAAGGTGTATGTAGGAAACCCTACAACAGTTTATCTGAGTAATATTTACCTGCAAATGAAATGTTTTCAAGGTTTACTGCAGTTCCATCTTGCAGGACCAAGATCCTTTTGAAGGGATCCACTGTTAGAATAGTGCCATTGTGTCCATCACTTGTTTCAACCTGGTCGCCTTGCTGACACTCTCTCACGCAAAAACTGTACTGCTTCCTTTTACACTTTTGTGACAGTGATTTTTTTGGGGCTTGCCTGCAGTTTTCTGTAACAAAGATATGTGATATTTGTTGGCTGTAATGCTCACCCATGTGAAACTGTAAAATATTCAAAGGTAGAAGTCTGTGATTTATGAATACGGGACGACTTTTCAAATATCTTTCTAGGGTTTTATGGCATTTCATTACATCAACAGGTAACAATTTTTTACATGTACCACAGAAAACTTGCCTACCGCAAATATTCCGATTTACTAATCCTTCCTAAGTGGGTTTTTTTTCAGAAACATGTACAGTGCATTTACAAGGAAATAACAAATTTGTTAGTTATTCATTAATTCTTTGTACAAGTACCGGTATCTTTTGGAAATACATATTAATTTTTAAATCATAATTCTTTCGGATATACCGGTAGACCAACAACTGAATGTTAAAATGGAACATGAGCATGTTACTTACGTCTCTGATGATACTCTTCATAGGGAGGTACTGGATGTCTTACGGAACGTTCATCCACCCAGATATCATGCCCAGTATATCCAATAAAACTCACTAGGTATGACCATTCTTCATCTTTGACTACTTTAGCTGCCCACCATCTTCCCAACTCATCGAATGCCTGGACGCGACTTCCAACTGAGAATTTTCCTGTCATTTTGCCTTCTTTAGAAACTGAACATTTTGAGAACTGCACCAAGGCAGTAAAATGATGGATGATGAAGATGAGGAAATCACCTTTACCTGGCCCTTATATGGCAGCCAATTTACTCTTGGAGACTCCATCATGAAGGGAAAAAAGGCCCCAAAATATTTCATTTTAACTGATGACACAATTATCTCATTGATTTTCTGACTGCAAATGATTACTTTGTTACAAATTGCTTTTTATACGTGCACCAAACATTTCATATAGATTATAAATGTACGTGACAATGAACTCTAAATTCTTATTTTTTGATTTTCATATCACTACGCACTGACTGAGCATCAAGCCAGCGATCAATGCAGCAATGAATGACCACAACCAGCAAAGGATGACATAAATCTGTCATTCACTTTGTACCAAGGACTGGTACCTTTAGCAGAGGTCAAAAGCATAGGACTACTGGTTTATCACCACAAGGGGCAATAAAAATTGTCCACTGGGGAAAGGTGCCATTTCAGAATGGATGTTTTGTTTCCGAGTTAGAGAGGTCTAACTCGGATTCGTTTAAATGGGAGAAATTCGTAATGCTGCAATACGCTTGTGAAGGAGTTCCTTGATAGTGATGAGGAAGGCCCACAGGCGTTGGGCGATGTCATCTACGGCATGGGGGTCGAGGACGACATCAGTCGTCTCCTAATGGGGCGCAAAAGAGGCAAACTTAAATTTAGAAGCAAATACATTCATTTTGTCGGGAAATTGGCAGAAGCACACGTTTCAGACTTTGGCATAAAAAGAACTACCGGTACCCAAGATCAAAAACAACACAGCTCAGAATCTTGTCTGAATCGTTACTGTGCTTTCGTAGACGCCCTTTTGTTTTCAAAAATGCTGCGTTGAACAGTGTTCTTAGCCTCAGACCATCGTCTTCTATGCAAATCTTGACTTCTTTTATCTTGCAGTCTAAGGTGATCTATGAAGCACTCTATTTCCCCGAGGCGAAGAAATCCGTTTTATAACACCTCTCTCATAGTTTCTGCGTGACTTTTATCAGCCATATTTGATTAATTTGATATTAATACCTGTGATATGGTACGTCTATTTGAATAACAAAGTTATTAGAGTGTGCACTACTCCAACGATTCTCTCGGTCGGTCTAATCAATTTCGAAACTGTTCATTATCAACCAAAACAGACTACAGTTTTTAAAGGTTGAAGCAGTAGAAAATATAAGATAGTTCTTATTTTACTATTACCTTTATGTTAACTGTCATCTCCAGTTTAATTTCCGTGTCCTGTGTCTCGGCAGTCACCTCGCAAATTAAGTTGTCGGGAAGAGTCTTGTTGACTGCCAGCTGGCCAGCCACAACCAACTCGGTCCCTTCAAAATATGTCGGGAACAGAGTCTCGGAGATGCTGTTGGTCTCCAGCATATCTAGGGGGGTATTTGATGTGCAAGTTAACTAGTAGCGGAGTGGCCACCTCATCGAAGAATCCCACCAGCTGTAGCCCAGCATCCGAGTCTTCATAGATCTTGCGTGGCCAGGCCCTTGTTCTGCAGGGCGAGCTGCTCCAGGAACGGATAGCGCACGCCCTCACCGAAGCCCAAACAGAAGAGGGAGAATCTCCCCTCCAGCCAGCGCCTAATGTCGGTCTTGATGCCCTCCGCGTCGGAAATTTGTCCGGTGTTCGGCATGCCATCCGTTAGCGTGATGATAAGGTCGAATGTACCAGCTGTGGAGATAGCATTGTCCTTCGCTTCTTCTAATATGTCCATAGCACCGACAAGGCCCTGGTGAAGGTTCGTAGCTGTAATTGAGAAATTCACGACAACTTCAAAGGGCTGGGAACTCTCGCCTTTCAGCAGTGCACAGAAAACAAAACTTTAAACTGGCAGCCTGACAAGATAACACACATGCTTTATTGCCTGTTTCAGATGCATGGTCAGCCTTTCACAAGTTAAAGGCCGGTTCGTACTTCAGACAAATGCGAAAGCGAAGTCGAATTTAACGTCACGACAACTTTGCAGTGAAATTTCCCTAGAGTTGAAATGAGCTTTATTTTTACGAATTCGCAACGCGGATATTTGATCTGACGTCCCAAATTCAGTTCTCTTGAGCTTTTGCGCAAAGTACGAACCGGCCTTTACTCCTTTCATTTTGGATATCTTTTCAGTTTTAAAGCACATGAATCTTTTTTGCTTTCTATTAATCCTGGTAACCACAGCATTTTGATTCAGTGAGAAGTACCACAGTTGCATTTGCTGCGTATATCTGGGTTGTGGACAGACAAGTGTCTTGTTTGTTTATGTTCGTAGGCACAAAAGATGGAAATGGTACAAGTCCCGCCGTTATGAAGTGCCTGCAGAGGTTTTTCTAAACCCAAGAGACGCCATAGTATCGCTTGCTGCAAGTTGCCCTGAACCGCAACTGCTACGTTGTTCTCAGTCAAATTACAGCAAGTCCGAAGACCTCATTTCTGTGAGATCAACGGAGACCTGATCCTACAAGATGAGTCTTCGGCCTATTAATTTTGGAGTTTGTTCTATTTTGCAATGAAAAATAGAACTCTTTGTTTTAGAACCTCACTCAGGTCGCTATCCTGATGACAATATACGTAGTGCGCGTGATATTGGTAAGGGTTCATATTGATTTTACACTGTTAAACTCTTGCAACTTATAGGTTCCGACGAAATGTTAAGAATAAAAACCATGATGCGAACCTCCTGCATCTTGTAAGTCTCGTATGTAGCCTCTGGCATCAGCGACATTCTCTTGGTTGGCAGGGACTAGACTGGGGCTCCAGCTCTGGGTGGAGCTCTCAAATGTGACGATTGCGAAGGCGTCCTTCTCTCGAAGGTCAGACAGAATGGTGCCCATCGCCTCTTTTGTTTGCTGCATCTTCCGTCCACCCATCGACCCGCTCCTGTCCAAGACAAATACGACCTTCTTCTGTGTAGGCCGGAACCCAGCCGGCGAAAAGTGGTGCACGAAATGGCCGTTGACAATCTGTTGCAAACGGAATATCGACAGGGGAAGAGCGTTGTCGTCAAAATATTTTCATTGTGGAAACTATTTCAAGTTGACAGAGTAGGGATGGGAACTTTGGGACTTTACCTTTTTTGTCACATGCGCCTTAAATATTTATTGGCTCTTATTTTGACATTTTCACAACAAATTTTCGCCATAATTGGGTGTGGCTATACTGAACAGGAAACATTTCAAATAATTTCAAATTTAGTCTGGATTTTAGATTTTTTCAGCCCAAATAATCCCTGATACAAAACTGAAGCACATAATACTTCGCTCACCTAAACAGCCAAGGTTCTTTTCTGAAAGATGTCAAGTCTTACTTATGTCCCCGGCATATTACATGTACATCCAAAAATCTGAATCCAGTATTATGGACAACAATAGGCCTACATTACAAATCTAATTTCGTCTCTAAAATGCAGCCCATTCTCGTAGGTGTAATCCTTGCACGTACCTGAATATCCCTGGCATTTTGCCCACGAATGACGTCATACTGCGCCACAAACTTCCCCAGGTTCCCAGCCTCAGACAATGCCTCTTGTTCTCCCTTTTTCTGGTGGAACTGTAGCTTTCGAGCGACTCAGGTGCTTGACCTTCGCCCACAAAGGGCGCAAGACATCTACTTCCCTCCAGATGTTGGACGAGAGTTGAAGGCGTTCCACGAAGTGGTCCAGTTTGTTTTCGTTGAGGCCTTGGGGTTCGTTGATGTGCATAACCACCATAAGGTGATCCACGGCCTGCAATGCATACATAGTTGTCATTATTTCAAGCAGTAAGTCCCGAGTGCTGTTCCGCTCAGTACAGGTTTTCATTTAACTTCTTTGTTTTGATGGAAAAATGACTATCGCACTAATGGTTCTTGCACGCTCGCAAAATGCTGCCACTACGCTGTGTATATGATCCAAAAGAACTGTAGAACGTTCTCATTATTTCCAAATTTCTCAGGTTTCTTTCAACTTTAATTTTAAAAAGATAAAAAACAACAAATATATCGAAATAATTACAACACTTAAAGCTTTCATGTTTGGTTTAAACTCCGTTACATCAAAGGTTTATCTTTTTTTCTTTGTTTTTTTTTTGGGGGGGGTGGTTTTTTTTAGTTGTTTTTTGTTGGTTTTTTGTCCCCTCAATGCTACAAAAGCTAGGAATTGTTCCGGATAGAAAAAGTACTGAACTCGTATTAATGTTGATGATGATTGATCTTTTCATTGGGGTACCTATGTTATGATGAGGGACAGACAGGGATAAAATGATGCCAGCCCTGCAACACAAGGTACCATTGTTAGTTGGGAAAATAACACAGCGTGAGGTACTAAAAAAGTTTCAATTCAGAAGCACTCAAAACTCGACACTCCATGTTTGGCGTTTAAATGTGATCCGTTTAATATGTATTGCAAAACTCTTCTGATTGCCTAGAAAATATTACAGTAGTTTTCACATTCCGTATTCCGTGCCTCATAACCATGGTTGAACCCTATGTTCCCTGTTGACTCCTCTTAGGATGCCACGGTTACTCCTATCTCAGTTGACACAGCAGAGCCATCTTTATCTTGCTCATCAGCCAAACTTTCCAGCCGCGCCTATAACTCGGGCCCAACGGGAATAGATTCTTCCCCATTTGTTGTTTGTTTTGGGCTTTGTGCTACGGGTGTTTCCTTCGCTTGCCATACCTCATCACCCTCGTAAGGTTTGAGCCGATCGAAATGAATGACTTTCATCTTTCCCCTTGGCTTGCGTTGTGTCCGATAGGTGACGTCGGACAACTTGTCGACAGTTATCTATGGCCCTTCCTAGCGCCTCTGAAGTTTCGGAGACAAGCCTTTCTTCTTTTAATACTTGGATTGTGGAGCCATACTGATTGTCCTGCCTCCAGCATCATTGTCATCGCCCTCCTATCATGGCACCTCTTCTGCTTTCTGGCACTTGATTTCAAGTGCTCTTGGGCCGGCTGACTGCATTGTTTCCCTCAGGTGGAGAGCGTAGTCTTCAGTCGTCTCTACTTCATTGCCATCATAGCCCATTCCAGTCGTCAGGTCTAGTGGTAGGCAAGCATCTCTACCAAACGTTAACATATTAGGTGATTTTCCTGTCTACTCATTTTGCTGGATCTGCAGGCGAACGTTGCGAATGCTAAGGGAGCGAACCAGAAGGGGCACCGACGGTTTTACGCGGTGAAGCTCGCGGTTTCTTGAGGTTGGGCTGTATGAATGGACCTTGAATACATGTGCATAATCCCTGAGTTGTAGGTCCCACGCATGAATGGTTGCAGAATGCAGAAACCAGCACGGGGAACAATCGGGCTACAGCGGACAATGACAGATATGTGGCTGCCATTATGGATGAAAGGAATTAGCTTGTCTTGGGAAGGCAGGTACCCTAAATACACGTAGACTTTTGTGTTTCGTTTTTATTTGTACATGTACTTTTATCATCGTGGGAGTTCGTAAATACATGAAATTCGTTTGATAATATCCTAAAAGCATTCTCCGACGGATGCTGGCCTATGTGCACTGACCTGTAGATAATGAGCTCATTATAGCATGATAAGAAAAACCTAATAAAAACAAAAAAACAAAAACCGATCCCGTGAGTTTTACCGCGCAAAACTGCCGGGGCTCCCTCCTGATCACTCCTAACTTTTTGTCCCAGTCTAGCTGACACTCGTGGGGGTCAATCATCACGGAAACCATTCGCAATAAGGTCCTGTTAAATCTTTCTATCTTCCAGTCTGATCTCGGATTGTGAGGAGTCGTACAGGTCTTCCTGATTCAAAGGATCTGGCAGACCTCCGCAGAGACTCGGGACTCGAAATGTTGTCCTTGATTGGAGTGCAACTCGGTGGGGACACCAAACCTGCAGACGATTTCCGACGCAAACTTCTGGGCCACAGTCTCCGCTTTCTCGTTAGAGATCGGGTAGACTTCAGCCCATTTAGTAAAGTAGTCCCCGACCACTAGGACGTATTTGTTTCCGCGCTCAGTCTCTGGGAGAGGGCCTAGTTTATCCAAAGCTACCCGCTGCGTAGGCGCACCAACAACATATTGCTGAAGTGCATGGAGCCTTCCGCATCTTGGCAGGTGAGTTCTTCGAGGCACACACACTCAGTGCATCGCCTGGTGTGCGACCTGACGTCTGCACTTATTCCATGGCAGTAGAACCTCTGGTGCACTTTCGCTAAAGTTTTCGTCAGGCCTAAATGTCCTCCAGTAGCCCCTCCATGTAGTTCTTCCACTACATCTTCCGACAGAATTGAGGAACGACAACTAGGTGTCTCACCAAGTTGCCGTCATTACACTCCCATCGTTTGCAAAGGAGATCATTCTTCATCTCCAACTCACCCACATCATCCAATACTTCTTCACTGCAGGTGACGCTGCTTGAACAACTGTCCACAGTCTGACGTTCACATCTGTCTTTGCTCTGACGCCCCAGCTCATTGTTGCAACGGCCTCTTGCTCCTTCCTCCAGGAGTTGCGTTCATTCATCGTGTCGAGTGCAACATTTCTCACAGTAGTCAGTTCGGTTTTCTGGTCTGACTCCGTTTTTTCAACCTCACTTTTTACTCCTGCAGAGGTTGCTTGCAGTACTTCCTCTGCATACTGTCCGCACTGTGGACAGGGTCTCCGACTCAATCCATCGGCATTTCAATGATACCTCCCCGGACGATGAACAATGGTCACGTCGTACTCACTTATTACCTGTAACCAGCGAGAAAGTTGACCTTGTGGATCCTTAAAATTCATCAGCCAGCAAAGTGCCCCGTGGTCACTTCGAAAAACGAACCTGCGCCCGTACGGGTACTGACGAAATTTCTGGAGAAATACCACTGGGCCAACAGCTCCCTTCTCGCCACGCAGTAATTTTGTTCTTGTTTGCTCAGCACTCTACTACCGTATGCTATCACTTCCCGTCGATTATCTGAGAAAGAACTGCTCCCAAACCAGTGTCTCTTGCGTCTGTGTCCAAAAAGCACCCATTTTCCGGAGCCAAGTGCTAAGTACAACATTGTACTCGGCACCTGGCTCCGGGAACGCCAAAATGGGTGCTTCCTGCAATCTCTGCTTCAGCTCTCGAAATGCGCTCACACACTCCTCGCTCCACGCGAACTCTTGGCCCCTTTGAGTTAGGTGGTGTAAAGGCCTAGCAACATCAGTGAACGCCCTGACAAACCTCGGTAGTAGCTCGCCAGCCCAAGAACCTCTGAAACTCGGTAACATTCTTAGGCGTAGGCAATTCGCGGACGGTGCGAACCTTCTCGGGGTCTATCGCTATTCCGCCGCCCGACGCCAAATGTTCCAGATATAGTACACTGCTCCTAAGAAAGTTACATTTCTTGGGCTTCAACTTCAGCCCCGCATGCTTCCCTCGTGGACAGACCGTGCAAAGACGATAACTTCATCCAGCTAGAGCAGAGCTATCTCGCAATGTACACCCGCTAACGCACGTTCCATCAGCCGCTCGAAGGTTGAAGGGGCATTGCAAAAGCTGTTGCGTCCCCGGTGTTTATACGGTGCTTCACCAAATTAGTGCGCCCGATACCAACTTCGTTCTTGGAAGAAACATCGCTGTAATCGCTCAGCAGTTTTGCGATCCTGTCATGATGCTCAGAAGGAACCTCTTCAGTGCTCCGCATGTACAGGTCAACCAGGTGTTTAGGGACCTCCACTCGCTACTCTGTCGACACAGATTGTTGGATAACTTCTTCGACATCATCGTCACTTATGTTGGCCACCTTTCCAGCCATGGTCCCCTCTCGAACAACACATGTTCATGTTCTCTTGCCTGGGTTAAAAACCCGGATTGTTAGAACGCCGTCTTCGACCGTAACAAGGGTATGGCCACCACAACACCTTTACTGGCAACCTCTTTCCTGTCGATTGGCTCCACAATAGGCGTAATAGTACCTTGCAGCCATATGCCCAGGCACGAGCGCCTCATGACCTGCCGGTATTCTGATTGTGCAGTCCACCACTCCCCTAACACAAAATGCTTCGTCTTGCTTGTCGGTGCAACACACTCTCTCGCTGTTAATCACTAGCCCCAACGCCAGGAAGTCCAAGGTTTCGCGCGTCGGAAATAAACAAACCCATTCCCAGGATTCTTTCCAAGGTGTCAAGCCTTCCAAATGTGGCCAATACTGGAAAGGTGATCTTGGCCACACGCATTTCGACCCAAGCTCTACCAATACTCTCCAACTGAGTCTACACTCTTCACCTTCGGCCCTGCATTACTCAACGCTGTCCTATCCTCAGGTGCCATCTGGTAGAACAGACTGGAAGACGGAAACGTTTTAGTTGCCCCTGTGTCCACTGACTCCACCTACAAACTTGCTTTACGGCCCCTGACGGTCATTGGCACAAGCAATCCACTCTGGGCGTGGAGTGTCCCACCTGACTGAAAAATCGTCTCCCCCCAGTTTAGTACGTGCATGGGTTTCTCCGCCATCTTTTCCTCTCGGCTCTAATGGTGACTGTGCCCCAGCTTGCCCCGGCCGCTGGGTAAGCTGCAGTTCGTTTCCCAGATTCTCAGTCTCGTCTCGTCGGCGCTTACAGTTTCTTGCAAAGTGGCCAGGTTCCTTGCACCTGAAACAAAGATCACCTGGTGCAGGTTACCGCCTTCCTCTTCTGGGTACATGGCGTCCATATCAACAACTGTGGACAAAGGGAGAATTGCCCAAAAATAGCAGTTGGGCAACAACTCTCAACTACTTCCTCCATTATTCCCCTACCTACAACAAATATTGATATGAAACTTCCATCAATGGATAGAGGAACATGTGCCCTTTCCGATGCCACCAAGATTACCAGATTTGGACAATTTTCAGACGTTTTATGCTCAGATATAGCAAGCCATCGTTCCGCGGAAAGAGGCCATGTCTGCTGTGGACGAAATGAGAATTGCATAAAAATAGGAAGCAGTTTGGCAACATGTTCTAAGCTTCTTCTGCTTATCCCTCACTACATCAAATATGGAGATGAAACGTACATCAGTGGATAGACGAATTTGTACCCTTTCAGATGCCACCATAATTGCAAGACTTATGGCAGACTAATATCCTCATACATAGGAGAGCCATCTTTGCACCGGAAGATGCCCAGTGACCTGTAAAGAAAGGCAGCTGGCATGGAAATATGAAGCAGTGGGACAACTTTTTGCGGATATAACTGCAGGAAATATTGGGATGAAAATTACACATGTACATCAGTGGATAGAGAAACTTATATCCTTCGCAACTTATGCCACAACGATTTCCAGATTTGGACAGACTCTTTATGCTCCAATATAGAAGGCAATCTTGGCGCAGGCTGACGCCAAGTATCAAAGATGACAACAAAGGCATAATTCCCTGACAAAAACAACGCAGTACTAAGTGTCACAACAACTCTTCTCTTTCTTCGTGTATATTTCACTACACGGTAACTATACAGAAAATATGTAGATCGCACGTACGCAAAGCAACGGATAGAGGAACTTGCGCCACCAGGAATGCCAGATTTAGACTTTTTCAGACTTCATATATTCGAATATAGAGAGCGATCTTTGCTGAGGAAGACGTCCAGTAAGGTGTAAACAGAGGCACAATTACATAAAAATACAAAGCACTGGGACAACCCCTGCCTTCATTTGCAAATATTTCCCCAAATACAGCAAGTATGGATGTTTAACTTTTCGGATAAAATCACGAGTGCCAGATTTGGACAATTTTGGAGCATAAAGTCTGACTTTATGCTCCAATGTAGAGAGCCACGATCTTTGCTCAACAAGACGCGGTAAGTAGGATTTAAAGAAAGGCAGAATTACTTCTACGAACTAGGACAACTCTCGTTTTCTTTCGCCGATATTTTCCTCACTACAGAAAATATGGATATGAATCTGACATCATATTATAGAGGACAGCGTACCCTTTCCGATGCCACCACGATTGTCAGATTTTCAGACTTTTTAAGTTCGGATATAGGAAGCCATCCACCGTAAGAGACCACGTAAGTGTAGACAAATGGAGAATTGCCCAGAAACAGCAGGCAGTTGGGCATCTCTCGAATACTTATTCGATTATTTCCCTAACTACAGCAAATATTGATATGAAACTAACATCAATGGATAGAAGACTTTCTGCCCTTTCGGATGCCACCAAGATTGCCAGATTTGAACGTTTTCCCAACTTTTCATGCTGGGACATGGGGAGCCATCGTAGCGAGGGAAGAAATCATTTCATGTGTTAACAAAGGGAAAATCGTACAAAAATAGGCCTTATAAGGGGAACATTTCTCAAATTTTTCACTGATTTGTGTAAGTTTGATGAAGATACGAACTTCCACAGGGACTCCACAAAAGAATAGAAATGTACAGTACAAAATACTCCACGTCAGTTTACGTTTGCAAGAAAAATTCACGCTTCTGTGGTTTTGCAGAATTAAATTCGACAAAATTCACACGAAGGCATGATCACCATGTCAATACAGGGGATAATCACTATTCATGAGATTATGTTAAACTGAATTCAACTTTGCATGTGTGTCAAGTGACACATAATAAAAAAAACCTCCTTGCAATCTGGTTCGTGTCACGTCACCAGCTTCAACTTCGACCATTGCACATAGGGATATAATACAGGGACCTAAAAAACCGGACGATAACGCGCAACTTCAAAGTTCATCGTATGCGGGCTTTTAGTGTGTGCTTCATAAAATCGAAGTTTGCAAGTTGGCCAATGTCTGCCAGAAAACTATACCGTACAGAGTCAAAAGAGAGAGGGAGGAAGAAGGCGAGAAACGCATTGATGCAAATTTGCAAAGAAAAAAATTATATGTAAATAAAATTAGAACATTGGGAGACTTTCGGCAACTGTGTGGAAAATCCCCCTCCCCCCAAAAACATCGGAATACACCGTATGAAACGCACTATGATGGTAACGTACAAGCATAATAAATGGACATTTTATTTTTGTGCAATACACAGCTAATAATTATCAAAATAATTGGCAGATCCCTTTAAAGATCGATATTTTGACAGGAAAAAAATGTAAATGAAGTAAACACCGAAGACATCCATAGTGTTTAAGGTGTAAATCGTTGATTTTCTGCCCAATCCATCCTTTTATGCAACAGCTCTAATCTATTTTATAATCGAGAACGTCCTCATTTGGCTCTTCTCTTATCTAATACTGTTTGGAAAGGCTGCACCATAAATGCACACAAAAAACACATAAACGGCCCAAAAACAAGCAAGTCACAAAATTATATTAATTGATAAGTATTTGTCTTTTGTCACCTCCTTCTAGTTATGCAAGTTTTTTTCTGTCCATTTACGTAAAATCTTCACTGTAAACAAACTGTCGATAAAGTGTAATACTGAATGTATTAAAGCAGTTTTTATTATGTGTATCACATGAAAAAATTGATACAACACTACAAAAGTAATTACATCATAAAACAGCGCGCAAAGCTATAGACGCGTCACCAGGATTTTTCCGAGGCAGGCCTAATAACGTCCAGGGTATTTTCACGCAAATTGGTACCCTGTAATACTACCCCCTTTCCTCTTTTTTGCACAAAATACCGTTAATGGACAGTCAACACGAAACGATACCCAAAACATTTCCAACTGGTTTCCACTACTTTCAACAATTATAGACCTCTACAGAAAGAGTGAATCCATAGAAACTCTTAATTGGTAACTGAAGCGGACAAAATGTGAAAGTATTCGTCGTTATTAAAGGAAGGCATAAATATGGGGAGTAAAAAAAACCGTGAGGAACGCTTGGAATCATCACGGTACGAGTTATATGTTTTGTAAACATCAGCCATCAACTCCCATCAGCCAATTAATCTACTAAGCTTAACTGTCAAAAGATATTTTAGAGCTCTGCGGACTTCAGCTGCTGTAAATCGTAATACACAAGTGCAACATATGTATAGTTTACAACCAAAAAACGAGTACATGTACTAACTAAAACTGCAACCCTAAGGAAACTTTATGGCAAATATTTATCGCGGGCGATACAACACAGTGAAGTCCAGTAATGGGTTTCTCTGGTGTGAAAAATTAAGACTATACAACAATTCATTGAAGGATACTGCCCAATATTAGTGGCTAATCTTAGCTCTTAGCTGTTTGAGATTTGTTTAGAGATCATCTTCGTAAATACTGCAGGAGTAGTTAACTCTTGAAATAATTAAACAAAGATGCAGCAACAGCTAAAAGGTGTCCCAACATGGTTCTTGCAGACTGATATTCTTCAAAGCACATGTGGGGTATAGCTTTATCCAAGATAAACTGAATGCTGTGGATTCGTTTTTAACAAGGCAAACGTTTTGCCCTGTTCTCCAGCTGTGCTGGTTTTAATTTTAAACTGCTGATACTGTTGATTTCTAAAACACGAAACATGTGGCCTTGACACTGCCCATCTTCAGATTGGAGGCCAGATTGGTTCAACAAGTTCGAAATACGCATAGCCTTGTGTAATCACTGCACCGGGATCTGTTAAACTGAAACAATCATTTAATCAAAACTTTGCATTTTAGCAATTTCAGGTCAAGTAAGGCAACCCCATGTACAAGAGCCAACTTGACTTGATTAAGCCCCTCTACCCATGTCGCATTTCCTCCCAACCAAACAATACTTGGTACGAGTGCGGTAGACTTGACCTCCTAATCCTGTTTCCAACCTCCAATTAGCTTAAACATATTCATTAGTTTCAGAGAACAAAATAAGCTCTTGGTGTCATACTTAGGGTTAACCTGCCCCTCAACAGTAGACTCTCACAATGCATTGTCACCTTAAGCATCTACTGCCTGGCACGGTACTGCCTCAGGCTTTTCTCCAGGACCTCATCCCCTCCTGCGTACCACCAACACTGTCTGGCCCTCTCCTCACGGATGTCCATCCTCTCTGACTGACGGACCTCCAGGCGCTGGCTACCCACTATGAGTTGCCCTCTCATGCTGGCACCCTCACCAGTGATGCTGCCTGCATCCAGGTGTATCTCTCGGCGTTCAAACTGACCTGTTATTTGGAGAAAGCAAGGGGATGAGATAGAATAGGAGCATCAAGCAACAATTCAATGGCATAACAATTCAGTGCTCCAACTCTGCATTAAGCTACTTAAGTCTCCCCAACACATGACTCCTGCGCGGGTCACATTATTTGTTAGCTCCACTCAGCCTCGTCATGTCATTAGCTAAAATTGGTCCGTTAGAGACAAGATGACATAAATCTGCAACCGATTTCACAAAGCGTGGCCTAACTTTGAACCATGTATAAGCCTTGCACCACAAATCTGTGCTGTAGTTGCACAATATGCCTACAGCATTCATTCAATTACCTCATGCCCATCATTTTGGAGTTACTGTCTTTTCTTTGTCAAAACTGGACAAACTATCTTGAAGTTCTTTTGCAGCAAATAAGTTTTTCACAACCTTCTACAGCAAAGTTTTACATATCGCTATAAATGTGGCGTAAGTGATGTTACGCTGCTCAGCCCATACATAAGTAAGCCAAAACCCAACATGTTAGAGTAGATCACAGCATTCATTTAGCACCTAATTTCCTCCAATTTTTTGATCCAATGCTCGTGTAAAATCAGGAATCATTTTCATGGGATATATACAATGAGAACAGATCAGAAGTTGCCTCTGGTTTCTCTGTACAGCACTGTACAAGGACCTAAATGTACCGACGATAGCTTAATTGGTCACCTGTAGTACAATACTGATGCAGGAATCTACTTGATTTGGATCACGTTGCCCACTGGCATACATATTACAGTTAACTATGAGACACAAGCCTTACCAATGATGCCATCCACCTCCTGAGAAAAACCATCAGCATTTCTGATTTCGAGTCCGAGGAAGTCATTCTTGTGTGCTGAGGGGTCGCCTGTGTGCCTGTGGATGACCAGCGTGAGTCGTGACGATAGCCGGATGGACAGATGGCTGCCAGATCTGACAGCAACTCTCATGCCTTGCACCCTGGCCTTCCAGTTCTGTCCCCAGGGCATGGTGAGCGTGGATCCCAGCAGGAGGCTGTCTGGGGAGACTTCCAGATTGCCCTCCCGAACCTTCACCAGCAGACGGTCCAGGATGAGTGGTACAGTCTCACTCTCACTCAGCTCAGTAGAGGCAACAACGGAGCTAGCCATGCGGCCATTTACCTCAATTTCTAAAAACACAAATATGATAACACAATAGACACTTAAAAAATGGTTTCACATGGTTAACCTTTCATCTATAAAACACTGTAAGTACTATGCATTCACTTATGATGGAGTTGTAGACTGGTTGATGTTCATTCAGGTGTGCTACTGTTGGAAGTGGTGCTAAGGGTATGGGAGACCCAGGAGGTAGGTATATGGGTGGAGATAAACTGGGCCATGGGTTTAGAAGACCCCTTGAACAGGAGGGGCCACCGGATGTCGCTGAGTGTGAAACCTATGTTTTGAGGACTGTCTTGTGCTTGAGGATTTTGATGGCTTCACATGCCACTTGGCGATGCTGGTGATGAGATACCACTGGATGACGTGGTCAGATTTGTGGGAATGCTTGATGATAGTGGACTTGTCTTAATCACCCCACTGACCATATGCTTAGTGTTTATTGCTGGGGTGGACAAGTGTCTACCAGTTTCACCAACATACACTTTGCCACACTTGCAGGTGATACTGCACAGTACATCGGGTCTTGCACTCACGGGCTTTGATCTTGTTTGTCCTTGTGGGATTACAGGAATCATGGTTCAAGATCTTGATGGGCACAGTGTGAAACATTTTGATGCCTTGCTTAGTTGGCCAGGATCGTTAAATTTGTTGGGAGGTTTGGCCTAAATAGGGGAGGGTGGCAGACGTAATATTCCTATTAGATTGACCGTGGGTATAGAGACCCTCTGGTTGGGGAGGGTTCGTAGTTTTTGCATCTTTATTTGGTTTCTTGATAGCCATTCCGTTGTAGTGCTGTGGTGATGTGATTCAGCTCGGATGACAGATGCTCCTTTTCGCAGATGTTACACACTTGGTGCATCAGCGTGCTATTAACAAGGTTCTTGACGCTGGGGTGGGGATGAAATGACCGTTTGTGGAAATAGTGGTCAGTGTGGGTAGGTTTGCAGTATGTGCAGCGACTGAGTGTACCGTCAGGTTGTCAGGAAACCTCAACATCCAGGGTTCTGCCATCCTTTTCCTGCTCCATGGTGAATGGGATGCCACTGTGTAGCACATTGAGGTGTTCCTGAAACAATATGAGCTTGTCTGGGTCATGTTAGCAAATGTTTAAGGTATCGTCAACCACGGGTGTCAATCCGTTTTGAAAAGTGGGGGGACATAACCCTGAGTGCAGAACGTGAAGCACAAAGCCCTGAGCAGCGTGGGGTCCAGGGCCCACTCAAAGACCAAGGAAAATCTTGGAGTATAGATGCTCTGTTCTGTGATCTGAGAAAATTTCTAGCTACTTTAGCCGTTTTTTTAACAAATGCTTTTGCAAGGTATACATTTTCACGTAAGTTTTGGAAAAAAGTGGGGGGGACAACTGATATAGTACCCCCTCTTCCCAAGTGGTGAAAACATGTCCCCTCTATTCCCCAGAAACTGACGCACATGTTGCCAACATAGTTCAGCCAGAACTGGGGATACACAAGATCCCACAGAGATTCCTTTGATTATTTCAAAAAACTTCGGAAACTGGATGATGCCATGCAAGTTCTGAGCAGATCATGAATCTGATCCAGGCTGAGGTCGGTCCATTCTGGCAGTGTGGGGTCTTGCTTTCTCTGGCCATGTTACAGGCATCATGTTTGGGACACAATGATGGGACGGAGAGGTATCTTGGATTTATGAATCTTATAGGTTCACCAATGAATCTTGGGCATGTTGAGCTAGAGGAGTGGAGCTGTCTGTAGAGAGCACTTGTGATACTGTCAGCGTGTTGTTAGGCCAGCAACTCTACATTTATTCTCTTATGAATAGGAGTGGGACCGGATCTTTGGGAAGGGGATGGTAAGATCCAGAACCAAGGATGGTCCACACCTTGTCGTCACAGCGAGTCTTGTCCATGACACATTTGCATTACCTCTGTCAGCTTCTGTGAGCCATGACTTGTCTTGACGGAGGCCGCGGGCAAAAGCGGCATGTTCTTGTCAAGCACAATGACGCTGGTGTAGGCCAATTTGTGAATGTAACGAAAGTTGCATGCATGTACTGATAAACACCAGTAGTTGAACAAATGTTATTTACAACATATGCCACGTTTTCAGGCTGAAAATATTCACAATTGCAAAAACTGAAGTTTCCTTGTATGACTAGTAATGTATGACTTGTTCAAAGTGTTTCTTGCACACACACTTTCTTCTGGGGATTTGCTATTCAGTGACTTATTGCAAAAAAATTAAAAATCAAATAAGCAATAGGAACTTTTATAGGCCCAATATACCTAACGCACCAACTAATACCAATAATGAAATTTGTCCAATAGGTATTTAAATTTCCACACCACACTCACCTCCATTTTTGTCTGAAAGGAGCGTGTAGATCTGGCTTGGTTTTGCTTTCACGCTGAAACACAATTGAGCATCATCGCGGCCCTCCTTGTACATGACAAAGGTAGCACGATACTTGGGCTGTGATTCTGAGGCTGTGAAAAAAAAAAACATTTTAAAACCCTGTAACATTTTTTTCGTCTGCTGATCTTGCTTGGTTTACCACATTCGTGCAAAACCTGTGTTTAAGGTTGAGAAAAATTATGGGTTGATCAGAAGGGGGTAGGAGTCCATCTCCTTGTACCCTTTCCTCCTTGACTAAGGAAAATCATGGGGTCAATTCTACAACCCAACCCACCCAAATTCTGGTTTTTGAAAGAGTGACAGAAGAGGCCGGAGCCAATGTGGAAATGCCGGTTGCGCGCCTTGGAGATGGATACATAATACCAGACAACCAGTGAGTTCAGAAACAGCGCTTCGAAATCCCAGAAACAAGTACCCATATTCAACTTCATAAATTATGCGATAACTTTCCAAGCCAAGATCTGG